ATATGGACATGATGGAACGTGGCGGGGACTTGACCTTTTCCCAGAATAATGCCTTGGAAAACACACTGTAGCGTCCGATAAGCCTCACTTTGAGGCTCCCCTTGAGTGGGTGCGTTCGATTAGCTTCCCTAAACACACCAGTGTTACACCAATCGAACGCACCCACGTAACGTAAGCTAATCGAACGCACCCACAAAACAGAATAAGTTTTCTAAGGCAATTTTACAATACTCAACTTCGTCTCCGTCTCTGGCTTCGTTCCCAAAACCAATCACCGATTGTGGGCCTGAAGCATTTAAATTACATTGAACTACTGTAATTTTTGGCTTTCTTGCATTTTATTTGATGTTCCGTGGCACTATTAGACTGATTACTGCACTTACAGCTTCAAAGTCAGCTAGTAAAAAAAACAGTTGAAGTCTGAGACGCAGCCGAATTGAGTATTGGAAAACGGCCTAAGTTTCGTTTTACAAGGTCTCTGGTCTAGTTCCACTCATACCTCTCTTAGGAGCTTATTGAACTGAGCGTTTTCTGCTTCAACCAGTCTTATGGCCCATACTTACTCGTACATATGCATGAAAGGAGGGTATATGTATTTGTATACGTANTCGCGGATGGACTGTTCGTGCATATGGACATGATGAAACGTGGCGGGGACTTGACCTTTTTCCCAGAATGCCTTGGCGAATACACTGCAGCGTTCGATTCGCCTCATTTCGAGGCTTCCCTTGGTGTAACACTGGTGTGTTTAGGGAAGCTAATCGAACGCACCCACTCAAGGGGAGCCTCAAAGTGAGGCTTATCGAGCGCTGCAGTGTGTTTTCCAAGGCATTCTGGGAAAAAGGTCAAGTCCCCGCCTCGTTGCATCATGTCCATATGCACGAACAGTCCATCCGTGACGTCATTACCCTCGGGCAGCCTCCAGCCAGAGACCCGCTCGCCAGCTGGGGATGGGGTAGTGGTGGCTGACACCAGGGCAGGCACGAACATCACGTGATAGCTAAAGGAACGCTCTCGTATAAGTTTGACTTTCACGTGTAAGCTAATCGAACGCACCCACAAAACAGAATAAGTTTTCTAAGGCCATTTTCCAATACTCAACTTCGTCTCCGTCTCTGGCTTCGTTCCCAAAACCAATCACCGATTGTGGGCCTGAAGCATTTAAATTACATGAAACTACTGTAATTTTTGGCTTTCTTGCATTTTATTTGATGTTCCGTGGCACTATTAGACTGATTACTGCACTTACAGCTTCAAAGTCAGCTAGTAAAAAAAACAGTTGAAGTCTGAGACGGAGCCGAATTGAGTATTGGAAAACGGCCTAAGTTTCGTTTTACAAGGTCTCTGGTCTAGTTCCAATCATACCTCTCTTAGGAGCTTATTGAACCATGGAGGTAGAATCACAAGGAGTTGGAACGAAAACTCGAGTCGATTACGGTCAATTAGCGAGCCTGGCTCGCGTGTACAAACCCAATGCAACCACCCGCAGAGCGCGGACAGATTTACGACCGAGATAAGGGCTTCTGTGCACGACGTCCAGTGCCGCCGATCTGGCCAGCTTCACACGACCCATTCATTACTTGAGTAAAGCGTGAAGCTACGAACAAACAAAAATCGCATGCGCAGTAGTTTTCAGCCGGGATCTTCCATGCGCCATTGTTTCCATTCGATAGAGCAAAAAATTCCGATTCCAGTGATATCTTGAACGCCGAATTCGCTCGTTTTTTTCCGAGGTATGCGTTTTATGTTTTGTTGTACGAAATATGAAATATTAGTGATCATTTTTAGGACTTTTTGATGTGATCCGGTGATGTCCTGCCAATAAAAATGTTTTCTTCAGAGAGAGGGACTGTTCACGTGGCCGTGGATGTAGGGTTGATAGTGTTACGATTTATTACACAAACGCAGTGGAGATTTTAAAAATCCCGGTTTTGGGGATTTGCCAAATATTTACGCTTGCTTTTCATTTCAAAAGACACTAAGTACATTACCAGGAATAATTTCTCAGCCCCTTTTGTGTTGATTTGTTGAATTTTAGCAAAGTTTTAAGAAGGGTTTTCATGTTTTATTTGTCATGTTTGTTGTGTTGGCAT